CCAAGAGGAGTATACCGTACGGGAGCCCTATCTCTCGCTATTCCTCAAGTCTAGTGGTATCGTGTGTTCTGCATTTCATTGAGGAATGACCTGATGACAAGGACTTGCCTTGCACCAGTTTTTTCCGCTTACGGTTTCCCCCAGTACATCTTGTATTTAATCGCGTTCTGACGTCATGGTATCGACGTAGTGTCTTCTTCCTTCTTGCCGTTCAGTACAGCGGCTTCTGCTCCACACATATTTCATTTTTATTCATCCTCTGTGTCGTACCCCTATTCTCCGGATAGGCCACGGCTCTGTTGACAGATTGTACACGACCATGTAGATCCAGGATCTGGTTCTCTCGTCCATCTACTCATGGACAGCTGTTTATTTCTGCGTACGGCCGTTTTGGACTGTTTCTGCATCTTCGCTCGCCCGTTGGATTTGGTGGATCCTCTCATTGACTGACCTTGAGTTCCTCTGGGACAATTTTGGTTCGGGGTGCTGTCACCTCAACAACTTTGGAAGCCGTTGGGTCCCTTCTGCATTTTCTCTACACCGCTGATGGTTTAGGGAATCAGCTTTTCCATTCTCCTTTTATTTCAGTCCTCCTATCTCATATTGCTTCTGGAACTACTACGTGGGCGTTAAAATTGCAAATATGAAGCCTCCTGTCCTGCCATAAAATTAGGGATTATTCTAGCCTCGGTGAGGGGATAATCTAAATTTTATTAAAGACAGAAGGCGAATATTTCCCCTTCTTTTTTATGTTCCCTCCCTGGATTTGGGTTTTATTCTATTATAAATAATTGGGGATATTGTTATGTTTTGTGAATGCATGGTTTTACATAATAAAGGTTATTTCTAATATTCAGTGATGATTGTCCGTGTGCGTTTTATTCATCATGTTTGTGTTATTATGTTTCGTCAATGCCTTTTAGTTTAGGTACATACTAGGTCTTCATAAGATCTGTAGACTTTGTTTATTCATCAGATATTATGATGTGCAAGTGATATTGTATGGATATGACATCTTGCCTTGACAGTTTACTTTCACAATGTTTTCTGTTTTCTCTCTGGGCTTGACGATTGTTTCTCTGGATGTGTCTGCTACAAGGTGGATTCATTGGTTTCCTTGCTCTCCTGCTCGACCTCATCAAAGAAAGAGGAAGTGGAAGAGCTTGCTTAGGGGTTTTATACTACTGTTGCTTTGTTCTGATTGGTTGTTTTGAAAAGTTCTGTTAACTGTTTCTTTGCTGCTGGAGGTTTCAGTAAAGAAGGTAAAGCAAATATTCGCCTCCTGTCTTTAATAAAATTTAGATTATTCCATCACCGAGGCTAGAATAATCCCTAATCAAAAATGTACATACCCTTGAATGTTTGACCTTGTTTAAAACACACAAGGTGACACACACATGTTAAAATGGCAATGAAAGGTTAATTTCCCACACCTGTGGCTTTTCAAATTGCAATTAGTGTCTGCACTGGGCAGGCTAGATACTGAGCCATGGGGAGCAGAAAAGAACTGTCAAAAGACCTGCGTAACAAGGTAATGGAACTTTATGCCAGTCAGTACTGTTCAATTAATTAATAAGAAGAAGTGAAAAATTTGGGGATCTCTTCATACCAAGCCAAGGTCAGTTGGCCAAGAAAGATTTCAGCCACAACTGCCAGAAGACTTGTTCAGGATACAAAGAAAACCACACATGTAACCTTAGGAGAAATACAGGCTGCTCTGGGAAAAGGCAGTGTGGTTGTTTTCAAGGAGCAAAATAAGACGATACTTGAACAACAATGAACTGCAGGGTCAAGTTGCCAGAAAGAAGACTTTACTGTGCCAATGCTACAAAAAAGCCCAGTTACAATATGCCTGACAACACCTGGACATGCCTCACAACTTCTGATACACTGTAATTTAGAGTGATGAGCCCAAAAGAGAGCTTTATGGTCACAACCATAAGCTCTATGTTTTAAAATGGGTCAACAAGGCCTATCGTAAAAAGAATAACATCCCAACTGTGAAGCATAGTGGTGGCTCACTGATGTTTTGGGCGGTGGTGAGGGGGTGAGCTCTAAAGGCAAAGGGAATCTTGTGAAAATTAATCGCAAGATAAATGCAGCATGTTAGAAAATATTGTCAGACAACTTGCATTTTTCTGCACGGAGGCTGTACATGGGACACTCTTGGACTTTCCAGCATTACAATGACCCTAAGCACCAGGTCAAGTTGACCCTTGTAGCGGAGATGCAATATTCCCCAGGTTATCTCCGCTTGTAATCCAAGTGAGGCTCAGGAACAAGTAAATAATAAATCCAAAGGCAAGGTTTCCAGCAAGTAAAATACAGCAATATCCCCACAGCAATCCCAATAACTGGACGACACACAGTTTCAGGAGCAGAACTGACAAGCCTTTAATCACAGTCTCCTTATAAAGCATGCTCCCATGCAAGGGAGGGATTTACAGTAATTATTACAGTAGCCAATCCTGTCCTGGTAACCTCCCACATATCTCCTCCCCTCAGCCAGCATCATAATCCCCTTATCCAGTACACCAATTCCCCCCGTTTCTGGATGTACCCCTAAACGTAGGGATACCTCTTTAAATCCTACATCCCCTGGTAGCCCTGATCTGGGTGAACAACATATCCAAAAATCACCCAGATCAGACCAGGGGTTCGGGAAAAGTATGGGGGGAATAAAATGACCGACCGCACGAACTGAGATAGCCGAATTCGGTTCCATGTGAATGGGCCCTGCGGTCGGTCCTGGCATAAGGGAATAAAATACACGAAAACCTCTAGCTATAGAGGCTAGGGAGGGTTCGCCTGAATCCCCTCGTTCGGTATTCTCTATCTACCGAACGAGGGGCCGTTCGGTAGTTTGGAACCGAACGGACAGGGCTGTGGAGGTCTCAGCGGTGTTCGCCTACTCGAGTGTCCGATTTTAGTTCCAGACACTCGACGGCAAAACACCGCTGTTCGGGAGTTTTAAAATGGCCGCCGCCACGTGTTCGTTTGTCGAATGGCGGCCACCCCCGAGAACAAAGGACGGCTACTTTACTGTTCAATTACCCGTTCGCAACAATGTTGCAACGGGTAATTGAGGACACACTTCACACAGGGGAGGTCTGGTTGTTCGGTAGTTTCATTCGAATAAACTAAGGGAATGGAACTACCGAACAATCACAAGAATACAAGGCTTTAAAACACATATAAGACCAGCAGATCACACGAATGCAATTATTTCGAAGACATTTGCAGGACAGCCCAGTGCCATCCGCTACAACCCTCTAGTGGTTACAGCTGAAAAAGGTGAAGATTCTGGAGTGGCCATCACAGTGTCCTGACCTTAATATCATCAAGCCACTCTGGGGAGGTCTCAAACGTACAGTTCATGCAAGACGACCAAAGACTTTGCTTGACCTGCTAAAGGGGGCAATACACAGTATTAAGAACTAAGGGTATACAAACTTTTGAACAGGGGTCATTTCATTTTTTTCTTTGTTGCCATGTTTTGTTTTATGATTGTGTAACTCTGTTATAACCTACAGTTGAATATGAATCCCATAAGAAATAAAAGAAACCTGTTTTGCCTGCTCACTCATGTTTTCTTGTTTCATGTTTTACATATATTACCAATTTTCCAAGGGTATGCAAACTTTTGAGCACAACTGTAATATCAGGAAGTATTACTTTACAAAGAGTGTGCATGCATGCATGGGATAGGCATAAGGCTATCCGAGCTATAAGATAAGGCCTGGGACTTAAGAAAAGTATTTAGAAATTTGGGCAGACAAGATGGGCAGAATAATTGTTATCTGCCGTCACAATCTATGTTTCTATGTTTATCTACTTTGATCCTTTTGGACTCAGTGACGGCCATGACTGACCAACGCACTATTCAGACGTGGCATCTGGAAAACATAGTGCCATTTGTACCAAGATCTATATTGGAGAACATGCTGGAAACCTGACTAGTATGGGGGGGAGAAGTCTCCTTTTCCAGCTTGGTTGAATGCCACACAGAATTTTCTTTTTTCTATTATCATTTCTCTACCTTTGTGTTCTCTACTGAAAGTTTTATGTTGTTTATGAATAGAGTTAATTAAATATGTTCTGGTGGGTACTAACTAGAATTTCCTAGGCTTCTATTATTAAATTAAATCTTTGATTCTGCTTCAAGCAGCACTGGCCCAATTCTGCTAAAGCACATGGCGTATGGTGGCAAAGTGCACAACCCCCCGGCACCCTATTGTTTAGGGATATTACCCTTCTAGAGTAGAATACGCACACATGTAATCACCACCTCCTCCTGAAAGGCAGGCTCTAAGCTGTTTAGTCATACTTTTCTAATTATAATTAGTGACTATAACCTTACACTACTGATCCGTACGTGGTATCTAGCAGAAACCAGACTGCGGCATACACAAAACGTAGTCGTGTGAGGCAAATATAATCACAGCAAAATTTTCTATCATAATGTAACAAGGAGGCAAAAATGTCAGACATTTAGTAAGGTGTAGAAATGAGTAGTTTTTATTGCACAAACTGACAAAAAGATTAACTATTCATTATGTATACAAGCATATACGTCATGCATGAAACAAAGTAAACTGCCTGCACGAGTGGAGACATGAATGTGAAATCATCAAGTAAGTTAGAGTTAAAGCTCAGGGTGCTAACCCAACATGTAAATTAAAGGAGCATAAGACAGGCATACTGAAGCAATGCTGCAGATAGGAGCAGGTTAGATATAGGAATGAAAGGCTATATAACCAAACTATCATTAGCCCAAGTCCTCTGTCAGACCAGACAACTCCCACAGGTATGGATCACTCAACCTATGCCTGTAATTGCCCAGCTGAGTCCAGGTAGGTATGCAAGCTGATATTCATCTCCAATGGCACCACAACATGCGGTGTCATAACTGAACCCAGGTGTTTGCAGGAACCATCTCCCAATGTCCAACGACCTCTCCCTGGGTTCCTAATTTGAATGGTTTATATCCTTTGTAACTATATATACACAATATTGCTGTTTTATTAAACATATGCTGTGTTGCATGTTTAAAATTACTGTTGAGCTATTGTTTAAATACAAAAATAAATTGGTAATTGAGTTTTTGTTGGTGGTATTGATTTTCCTTTTGTTTTCTTTTAAATGGTCCATTGAATTTAGAGAATTTAGAAATTTGGTAAACTGGTTAGTAACAATACATCTATATGTAATGTATATATTAACCAAAAAATTGAACAATTGTGCACAATGTGCGGAAAGCTGAGTATTGGCTTGTTTTTTGGAGAAAAATATTGTTAGCATTAGTCAGAAAATGTGGATTCCACACAGATAGTATGGATGTTTTTCATAGATATTCTCTGTTGCATTAAAGGTACACTAAACACTTCATCTCAGTGAAGTGGTGTGGGTGAAATGGCCCTGTCAGTTTTCTAGAAACAGCAATGTTTATATTGCAGAGTTTAGTTCACCTCTAGTGGCTGTCAATATGAAAACCACTAGAGTTTCTTCTGCTGTAAAACTCGGCCACGTAAAGCAAAAGCCTTCATAGGAGAACATTGATCGCACATGTACATTAGGTCTCCAATGCTCCTCTATGAAGAGCATTGGATTGGACCAATGAAGAAGAGGCCATGCCTCCACCTTGAAGTCACAGAAGGCGGAGGTTGAGTAGCTTTCCTATGGAGAAGCTTGGATGTTCATGTAGAGTTTGTCACATATGCCCATTAGCAACCTATTGCTTTGGACCATTGCGGAGGAAGCCATGCCTCCTCTATGATGTTGCAGGAGGTGAAGAGGTGAGCAGCTCCTAGCAAGCTTTGGTGCTGGAAGAAGGTAAATAGGCAAAAGATAAAAGTAAATAGTTTATTTTCTAATTTTTATGGCAAACTGGGGTGGGGATTAATACGTTATGGGCATGACACTATAGTATTAGGAATACAGGTATTTTATTCCTAATGATATGGTGTTCTTAAGCACACAAAAGTAATGTGAAGCCCAACACAATCTGCTACATGTCAGAGCTGTACGTAAAAGTCAAATATTAGTTGCCAAAAATCCCGTTTCCTATACTCTTGTGGTCAGCATGGATTATAATTCAAATCGACATTATCAATCTCATTGCCCACCACACTATGCAACATTGTTAGTGACTGCCTAGTTTGCCCGTAACTCCA